CCAATAACAAGAGATTCATGTAGCCCACATATCATATTGATACATTTCAATGAGATGTACCCTGAGTGTAGTATTAAAATTCTAAATAGTCTGCAATTCTGTGACACTGTAACCATTTTTCACTCTGAAAAAATGCTTTAGAGTTATTTCTAAAATGTTTTAGAGTTTAGAAATAAACTCTGTCTTCATCTATTAAGTGTTTGTAAACAGTCATTTATTTCTCGTCGGTATAGAGTGAATAAGTTACCAGTTAGTGTGTTCCGGCTTGTGATGGTTTTGTTTGAGATATAAGGGATTTGTTTTTGGGGAGTGACATCACTAAGCCCCCCTGGTAAGTTGCAGAAAAAGGCACACATCATTCACTTTTTGCTATGTTTGTGCTAATTTGTGTTGTTTATAGTGAAATTTGTGCGGCTTTGGTTACAGAGATTTTTTGGGGGGTTGGGGAGTGATGTCACTTAGCCCATCTGTGGTGGCGTGGGAGAACCAAACTGGTATCGTTACATGGTGCTACATTTCTGCCATTTGGACAAAACGATTGTGCCTTTCTGGTTTTGGCTATCTTAGGATGTCTTTCTGAGGGAGTGACAGGAGTGAATCCCTGATAAATATTTTTTTAATTAAGGGATTGGATGTGGCTGTCTTCAGTCAGGTTTTACTATGAATAGGAAGAGAACATGAAAGGAGGGGTTTTGTGAGGAGGATCTGCCTTCGGTAAGGGCCTAGGTTAGGGTACGCACCGAGGTAGCAACTGAAGGTAGAGTTGGCTTAGGGTTTACAAAACTAAATTGGCCTATGTTTCCCAGCAGTTGGGGAAAGGGCCATTTTTAAACGTGTAAAGGAGAAGCCAGTTCGAAAAAGCCGGTTTCGGTTGAGAGGCAACCCGTGTGATTTTGACACAAGGGGAAATGGGGGCTAGGTGCAGAGAGTTACAGTCCAGGTAAGGGTGGGCTGGTCAGTTCAGACAGCTCTCGTCGGTTGTTCCCTGTATGGGTACTTTTGGCAAAGGAAGATAGACGATGAAAGACACAACTACAGGTGGCTCATGTGAGTGGGTCTTCGCTGCCATGCTGCCAGCTGGGGGGAGCTGCCAGAGTAGGGAATAGCCATGTAGATATTCACAAAACCTCTCGTCAGAATTCCCTTCTAAGTTATAACTGTGGTGCAGGAATGTGTTCAGATCTCTTAAAAACTCTGACTTGTGAATAAGAGATCAAGCACCTATTTATCTTTGTTATTATTGCATAAGCTATTGAAAAAGCAGGCTCAGAGAACCTCAAGCAATGTATTAAACTATGACAAGGCTGTTGGTTCAACATTTTAAATTGTTTTCATAGAACCAAATGTTTTGCACTTTTGTGCTAGAATGTGTAATGTGTTCCGAAGAAAAACCCGTGAGCCACCCATTTGTTGTATAGTGGCCTAGAAAGTCATTTTCTTTGTCACTTAAGCACCGTTTTGCTCTGTATATATGATAAGGTGCCTTGTCAGCACTGATTTTGATAACTGTTATTTTTATTTTCAGGATCTGGTGTTTAGAGCATGTGATCTTCCCTAAAATGGACAGGCATTTGAGTCTCTCTGTGAATCTCATTCCAAAGAGTCTGAACTGCAACAAGGCAAGAATGCCAGACATTTGAAGTCATATATTTAGCTAGACAGCACTAAGAGTTACTTCAAATAATCTTGTCTAAAACAGCTCACCCCGATAAAGAAAAAGAATTAAACTCCGCTTTTTCAAAACGTAACATTTTGCATTCTTCTCGTCTTGTCGGCATTCTCCCAATCTGCATCTTGGAATGAAAGCACGTTTAAAATCACTTTTGTTCACCTCCCTTAATGCTACAGTTTGGGTTCTGAAAAACTGAATGGTACTGTAAGTTAGTTGGAGTCCAGAAGACGCATGCAAGATGCTCAGTTTAATAGCAACAATAATAAAGTCTGGTGTTTCTAAACTTTTCAGTTTTTTGCTGTTGCAATTTAGAAGCCTATTACCCCTAGCAGTTCAGGAGTTGATTATAATGCTTTTGTTTTTCACAATAAATGACATGCTCATTAATGACTGCCACCTCTTTTGCCAGCCTACAGGGTTTGTCGCCTGAGCTGTATGTAGGCATACAGTTGTAACAAATCAGAGTGCTGATATGACATACAGGGAAATGCTGAGGCTGAATACCACTCTTGTTCTGTGTTAAACAGAGCAGTGGGCTGACATTTGTCACTGACGGATTCCTTTATTTGCAGAAGAACATGTACAGGCATTCCCACAGATCACAACAATTGGTGAAAGGGATCTTTGTTTTGTGTAGGAGAGAACAACAAACAGCTTATTGACTTACTATGAAATAAGATTAATGCACAAATGGCACAAAATAAACTCATAAAACTTTTAGAAGGGGAAATATAGGCAATCAGTCTTATCCTAGAACAGGTCTTTGGTTCTCTTGTTTTGTGTAGTGGGTTATAACACTAGGTTATTATAACAAGTTGCATTTAAAATCTAATTAAAACTGTGCAGAAATCTAATTTTTTAGACTAAATTATGAAACATTTTTGGGAATGGTCACAAAACAGTTTTTAATTCTGTTTTATGTAGTTTTTGTTTTTAATATGGTGAGACAGAAAGGTGAGACAGCTATGAATATATTATGTTTATTACAGTATGTTATCTGTTTTTTTATATATTGTATATCATGTTTTGCTCAATGTTTACTTAAACATCTAAATCTCCTTATTCTCTGTTCAAGACTGATTGTGCATTGCTGCATGTACAGTGTGATATTTGTGAACAGTTTTTTTTCTTTGTATGATGTAAGCTTCTATGACTTCTAGATATATTCTTCATGCCAGGTACACAGGATGACTGAGGAACAAAAAACTTTCACATTTCACTCAGTGTTTTGAATGCTTGCCATATAGTTCACATGTTACATACGGTATATAACAGTTGTAATAGTAATGTGGTTTAAAGATTTGTTAAAAGCACATAAAATAAAAAAGAAGGCTACATTTACTACTGTACCTTACCTGACATACTGTATGAAATCTCTCTCACTGTTCAGCAATACTGGTGAAATATGCCCACACTGTGCTTGGCATGTTTTCTGTTTATCTTGAAATTTGTAGGCTAGAGCCTTAAAGTTTTTTTTCACAAAATGTATGGATGGCTGTTTAACCAACCCTAGAAAAAAAAGGTGAGAAAACAAATTTCACAATAAAAGCATATGTAAGAACAATATAATCAGACCCATGGTCCATATTCCACACTGAAGATCATAACAAAGTGTTATAACACTGTTATTTACCAAGACATTCAAATATTTAAGTAGTGTAGTGTTCCTGCTCTTTCACTTGACATTTATTCTTGAAATTAAACTTATGTCTGATATCCTAACTTAACCATTTCGTAATGGTGGTATAAGTGGAAAAGGTGTTGGACTTTGTGGCCTTTCATGCTTACAATTAATAATTAATAATAATTGCTTATGCTTATATAGTGCTTTTCTGGACTCTGCATATAAACAGCTTTACAGGTAATGGGGACTCCCCTCTACCACCACTAAAGTGCAGCATCCACCTGGCTGATGCGACGGCAGCCATAGTGCGCCAGTACACTCACCACACATCAGCTCCAGTGGGGAGGAGAGCAGAGTAATGAAGCCAATTCATAGATGGGGATTATTAGGAGGCCATGATTGGTAAGGGCCAATGGGATATTTGGCCAGGACGCCTGGGTTACACCCCTACTCTTTTCTAGAAACACCCTGGGATTTTTAATGACCACAGAGAGTCAGGACCTCGGTTTTACGTCTCATCCGAGGGACGGGGCCCGTTTACATTATAGTGTCCCCATCACTATTTTTCCCAGGAGTCTCCAATCTAGTTACTGACCAGGCTCACCCCTGCTGAACTTCACTGGGGTACCAGTTGTGAGTTGCAGGATGATTTGGCTGCTAGCTTAAATACATTAACATTAAATACAAATAGATCCATTTCCAGTAACCTCTCAGTCTAATATAGTGTCGCAATGAAATGGAGCCTGACGCTGCAGACAGTGGTGCAAGGCAGGATACACCTGGGATGGTAAGCCAGTCCATTGCACACATGTACAAGTGGTGTGTGTCTCTGGACTGTGGAAGGAAATCAGCCTGGAATCCATGATTCAAGAGCTGTGCAGCAGTAACTCCCATCATCATGCCCCCCTCCTAGTCAGTGCTTTGGAAAAAGAAAAAAAAACCTTTCAGGTTCATAAAAACGTTTCACGGCTAGACATATTATGTCTGACCCTTTGTTTTCAACTGGTAGAAGTGTCGTGAAACACTGTATATGTTGCCACACACAGTGTCATGTGTTACCACTTATATGAATACAAAAATATGGAAACTTAATTTAACAAGCTAACAGATAAATGTGGGAAAGAAATATTTTAATTTGGAAATCTTTTGTCTCCCCGGGTTCTTAATTGAAAGGGAAACACCTAATAAGTCAGTAATGAAATTATTTACTGAAAGAGTTTCACAGTTGTTAACTATTAGACTGGTATGCAGTTGCTGGAGGATGCAAAAGAAAAAGGGTTGTTGGTTTTCTTCCTGTGTCTGTACTTTGCTTGGAACAGTGCCTTGGAAGCTGTCTAGAGTCTGCTTTTATTCACATTTGTTTTGGTGATACAGTGACAATACCGTGGAAAAGGAGACCTGTGTGTTTTGGGTTAGTAGTGCAGACTCTGGGAATGCATGTTATGTACTAAAACTTACAGTAAGGGAGGGGCACAACATTTCAGGAGTCTGCATGCCTTCATCTCTTTGTTTTTATAAAAAAAGTTTTTGAAAGGCTGGTAAACTCGTTAGGCTTAATTTGTCATTTTCTTTCTTCTTAATGATAGGTTGGTGAAGAGTAATCCAGGGTGCAGTCTGATGTCAGTACAGTACCCTTGTGGTGTGCATGCTGGAACTGGAATTTAATGACAGATCTGTATGTTGTACTCTCATCTGCTCACCCAGCCCACACATGATGTTCCTGTCCCAAAGCGTGCTGTCTGGAAAGAATCACCTCTGTGGGGCACGGCTGTGTCATGAAATCGCCCACGCCTGGTTTGGACTGGCGATTGGCGCCCGAGACTGGACTGAGGAGTGGATCAGCGAAGGCTTCGCCACCTACTTAGAAGATGTGTTCTGGGCCCGTGCGCAGCAGGTACCGTTGAATAAAAGAAGTTGGAGTGTCTCAGCCGTTTGTGAGCATTAGCTCATTTTCTACTGGCTAACTTACCAATGGATAAGAATTCATTATATATGATAATATATCATGGAATGAAAACCATTGACCGTAAGAGTAACCCATGTCAGTGTTTCTGGCTCTCAGCTATTGCTGGTCACTCAGACAAACTGTACTTTATGTTTACATAGCTAATCATATCCCACAGGCATAGATGTGTATGCAGAACATGAATTCAATACTTAAAAAAATTTGGTTGAGGTTATGGTGTTTTGACGTCAAGGGGAAAATTGCTTTTTTGTCTGATGGTGATAAACTGTATCTGCGGAGTTTATAATATGATTATGCTTTATAAAATGCTTGGCTGTAGGAAACACATGCTTTTATCTTTAAACAATTCTTATGAAAATCCATAGCCATCAAAACAGCACAAAATATAAGCAGATCTCTGCAGCAAATGTTTTCTCCAGAATTGTTTGCTTTTCTTGGACACCAAGTACGCTTGGTTAATAACATAAAAAGAAGTATTCCACTTGCCATGTAAACATTGAATATAAATGACTTGTAACATTCCTCTAAATTGAAACATTCATAATAAATATCCCTCCTTTTGATACTGTAGAATATTGTTTGTTTAAAATATGAAAACCATTTTAAATATGTTGAGTGTCAATACAAGTATTTTCAACACGCTTTCCCTTCGGCACAAAGATTTAGATGTTCGGTGCATGTGTGGGCCATTAGGAATTCTATTCTCACTCATCGTTATAAACCAGTGTGTGTTGTATGTGACAGAGGGTAAAGACCTGTCCGTCAGCCTGCAACAACCTGTCTTGTTTGACATGCTCTTCTGTGACTCTGTACTCCCTGATTTGGACTGTGGTTACGTGGCTTGTAAAGCTGGTCTTGGGAAACTTGATATCTTTTACTGTTTTGCTCAACAACGGTTTATTATAGTTTCATTGGAAAAACACATCACTGCCTCCATACTTAATTAGTCTGTACTATTCTACAGTTTAAGATGTGGAACTTTTATATCTATCTTTGTATACGTGTGTGCGGTAGGGGAGGGGTGCTGATGTGGGTTTGAAAATGGAATTGCTTTGTACTTCTTTGTAAGTAGTTTTGCTGAAGGTTTTTTGCTTTCTGTGTAGGCTGGGATGGAGGGACTGCAGCCCTTAGCACCATGTTCTGAGTTGTTGCTTCAGCAGTAGTCTTTTACTAAAAATATGTACAGTGCTCTGACTAAGGCAGGCTTTACGTGAAAGAAGCTAAAATATAACATTTCTAAAATTGGCCTCCATAATTATTTTAAGCAGTGTATCTCTCACTACTGAATGTGTAGACATTTTCGTGTGTCAAACCTCTTAAATGTTTTACAAATTTGAAGCACTTTTGGCTGAAACACCTGCAATATCTATTTTTTTCCTTTGTTAGATATACAGTAGCCTGACTATTTCATCGAAGGACTGCTTTTTTATATAATTGTTTTTTAGTCCTCAAGATTAATTCATGATTGCAGCTAGGGCTGGGCGATATGGCCAAAAACATTATCACGATAAAAATGTTCATATCAGTCGATGTCGATAATTATCACGTAAATGTCAAATCATTATTTCTTTCAAGTTTAAAGGCAGATTTTTTCTCCTGAGTGAAAGTTGAAGAAAGCAGACAGTTAATTGGTAAATTAAACAACTCTTTGAGCTGGTCGTTGGCAGCACTACATTTGCTTCAGTATCGCTCATTTCTCCACTCGAACTACAATCCTGTCAGCCACCACCGTGTGGGTAAACACCACCGCGTTAGCTGCCCGGTCTGCGACACGCACGCGCACTCGCACAGTATTTTGTGTGCATGCGCATATCGTGTGCAAATATTAAACATATATATCGAACATTTATCGAACTTTTGTTAAAATTATATTGCGATAATTATCGTTATCGAATTATCGCCCAGCACTAATTGCAGCTTAGAACATTGAACCAGTTACTGTACCAACAAGCGGAGGCCATTTGGCCCATCTAGCATACTTGGTTAGTACAGTAGCTAATTGTTCCAAAGATCCTATACAGCTGTTTCTTAAAAGAAGTCAAAGTATTGGCTTCAACCACATGGCTGGTTAGCTTGTTTCACACTCCCACAACCCTTTGTGTTCAGCTGTACCTCCTGATCTCGTTATGAACTGCACTTCCAAGTAATTTCCACTTGGGTCCATTGGGTTGATGTGAGTTTTGAATAGTTCGGGTTCCTCTGCAGTCCCCTCTGTTCATGATGAAATAAGTTTTGTTCTTTTAACTTCATTAAAATATGGATAAAAAGCACACTGCACACTTCATGTGGAATCAAAACCCATGACCCTAGAAATAATAACATGAACCAAGAAAATAAAAATCTGTAAGTCTGACGTGTGTTACAAGGTTATGGGAACGATAATCATATCTAAACTAGAGGATCACCTGTATGGAAATCAGATTATAGGGCATGATAAACACTGATTTAGGAAAGATACTGTAACTTAATTAAAATTTTCATAATAAATAACAACAGAAATGGACACACACAAAGCATACAGTATGGTATATTTGGATTTTCAGAAAGCTTTTGATAAAGCTCATAATTATCAAATTATAGGCATTAGATGTGAGTTTAATTTTTTTTATACGTTATAGAAAGCATAGTACAATAAAGGGTGAATTCTCACACTGGGGTGATTAATTAGTGGAGTACAGCAAGGCTCTGTACTAGGTCACTGCTTTTCCTAATTCAATGGTTTAGATTCTTGTATAAATAGTTTGCATATAATTCCAACAAAGGGGGACTAAAAAACATTCTAGAAGTAGTAAAAACATTTAGATAAAACTCAAGCCTGGACAAACATCTGATAGATTATTTAATGTAGAAAAGTGATGGGTGTTCAGTGTATGTAGTGAAAGCAAAAGTGAAACAAGCTGCTCGACCATGTTTACCATAATTGCCTGCAGCTATATCACCCTGCAGCTCACAACTGGCAGCCCACTGAAGCTCAGCAGGTGTGAGCCTGGTCAGTACCCGGATGGGAGAACTCCTGGGAAAAACTAAGGTTGCTGTTGGAAGTGGTGTTAGTGGGGCCTGTAGGGGGCGCTCACCCTGCGGTCTGTGTGGGTCCTAATGACCCAGTATAGTGATGGTACTCTATACTGTTGCAACACTCTGTGGAAAGCGAAGGGCTTAATAAGACGCAGAAAGGCATCATGGCTATCCACTGCAACAAAGGAACCCTCTAGTCGTGACGACTTCTCGCACCGCTGGACCCAGGCTTCTGAGGTCAAGAGAGTGGAACTACCCCAGTACAACAGCTTTCCCACTTCAAAAAGCTCTCCTGCATAGGATTCTTTGTGCAGCTCACCTTCCAAACAGACGAGCTGCACAAAGTACAACGGTCATCAAGGGGGGCGCTCAGCCTGCGGTCTGTGTGGGTCTTAACGCCCCAGTATCGTGACGGGGACTCTATACTGTAAAAAGGCGCCATCCTTCAAACGAGACGAAAGACCGAGGTCCTGACTCTCTGTGGTCATTAAAAATCCCAAGACGTTCTTATATACAGTATGTGTAAGGAATTATTATTATGTTGTCGGCATCTTTCAGTAAAGGACTGGATGAGATCCACAAAACGGTTAGCTAAATGGAATGGTTAGCTCCTGTCCTTTGTAACTGTTCTTGTATTATTATCCAACAGTGAGCAGCTGTACGATTGCGTTGGGCCTTTGTATATTCAGTCTGACCAAGATAACTTTTTACGTTTGCTTTGTTTCGTGTTACATAATTGAAAATAGGGTCTCTTCCCACACATGACCGCACAAAGGGCAAAAGTGAAACTGAACGGTAATTTGGTCAGTTTTGGTGAAGGCAGTATCGGACTGCTAATGCTGAGCTGCACAGACTCTGAAGAGGGCTCTTCTCTTACTCGTCACAGCTCCCACAAGAGGAAGCCGAGGGGCAGCGAGAGCTCAAGGCTGCCCTGCGATGGAGGCGTCTCAGGGACGAGCTACAGAACTCCGAGGAGGAGCTGCAGATATTGAGGTGTGTTGTCCACCCGCCTCTCATCGTCTTCCTCACATTCTTTGTTAGTACTTCCTAATGAGTGCAGTTTTACCCATTTCCTCTCATCAAGGCTTAGAAAGCAATGATTAGGCTTAATGCTTTGATATCCCACATGAATTCACTATATCAGTATGTATATATTCACTATTCTATATATCATATACTTATGATACAAGATATATCCCGTTTGAATACACTATTTAATGTATACAACATTGTTTGTTGATGTTTTGAAATTTTAAAGCTTTGGAAACTGCAATCCTCAATTACAAGATGTGAACTAACCCACAGCTGCAGTTGGGTGCCTGGGTGTGTCATTGGCTCTTATCCATGTACTGTCATATGAGGCACCTACAGAAAAAGCCTTGAGCGTGAGAACTGCGGTCCCTGCCTTTTTTAATTGGGTCTAAACGTGTAGAGAAATTCTAACTATGATAATGTATAGGTGGTATGTATAGGTTGGTAATTGCTTTCTTGGAATTTGCAGACATCAGAAACAACTGAACTACTTATCTTGTAACACAAAAAATGCCAAATTTAATTAGTTAGGTTGAGCTCCAGCAGAAGAAGAGAATCATAAGAGTTGCATAAAATATTTACCAACGTCTTAAACATGTACAGCACAGCACTTCACAAACATTCATGAAAGACAGCTTACGGTTTTGATTACAGCAATGATTCTTTATTTTGCATTTGCCTAGTTGCCTAGAAAATCAATACTAACACATTTGGAATATGACTGATTATGAGTATTATACAACAGCTGGTTAAAAGTTGATCCTAGCTAGTAATTACAAGGCTTGTACAGATATGACAAAAACAGCTTCTTAAAGTATTACCATTTTTCAATGAAAGGTGCAGTATTTAATGGTAACTTTTTTGTGATGTGTATTTTTATCATGCAGCATTCTTTTAAAGTTACAAAACACAAATTCTGTCTCCTAGTTAATAACCCAGAGCCAGTTTAACTGGCATTTACCGCATTTCACAGCTCATCTCAGCGTAGATTTTGTAGATTTGTTCCTTTTTTCTGTCATTTCAACGAGACATCTAGATAAACATTCTTTTGAACTGAAAGAAGGTGTATTTAGTGTACAGTAATCACAAGCACACCATTTAAAGTCAGTATAGTTAAGTTTTATAAAAATATTAGGAATAATGAAAATCATTCTGAGCTGCGAGGGTTAGGAATGATTTTCACTAAATTGAAAGCAAGTGAAGGCAGAACCGGGGCATAGGGCAGTCAGTGCTGAGAGGTGCTATCCTTAGGTTCACGGTGCGATTCCAAACAAGGGCACCGTCCCTTTTTCACATGTTACATGTCTGCAAAGCTAATTGTCCTATAGATTTCTGTCATATTCACAGGCAGGTGTGTAGCAAACATGTTTGCTTGACACCTATTGTGAAAGCAGTTACGGGTGGTGAGTATGGGATGCGATGGAGTGGTTTCCTGTGCAGGCTGCTGTCCTGTCTTGCACAGGCAGGACTGCTGGGATAGGTCCCGGAGTGCTGTGACCCTTTTCAGGACTAAGAAACTTTCTGATTATGAATAGAGGCGTGAAATCTAGTTAAGTCTTTGAGAAAAACCTTTCTGTTGCCTTTACCACTGTTTTTGGAATGCAAAATACAAACTAACAGTATTGCAAATGAAAAAACAAATGAAATCCTTTTATTAACAGTTACATCAGAACCCTGGAAGATTTCTGTCAATTTGTTGTACTTACATTAAGGAAAAAAGCAGGTGCTAAATGAACCTGGTGGGCAAAGTGTTCTGATTATGGCCCAGTGACTTGCTAATTACTATTTAAAGAGACAACAAAATGGAGAGTCCTGCTCATATCACAAACCTTGTATTTTTATGCAGGGATTAAATGAACATTTTACAACATATAAGTGTACAATTCATTAGCTATTAATTCATATTAATGTTTGTTTTTATTAAAAGGCTTTTTTGGCAAATTTATAAGCATCGTCTTTATGTTAAGATTAAAAAAACAGGCACAGTGTATTTCTGTTGATTTTTGCATGTTTGACAGCTGTCTAAATTCGGGATATTCCATTGTGAATCAAGTTAAGCAATGATTATATTCAGCAATGGCTACGTCAACCTTTTGATCATTTTTATATTATTTTAATAAGATTAAAACCAGAAACACTAGTTTCTTATTTTAAAAAGCATAACAGCATGTCTGGCAAGTTTTAATTGAGGCTTGTATTGCATCTTGCTGGTCATTGATGCCACATGTGGTGTGGTTTTTGTGGTAACCAAAAACCCTCGAATGGACCAAGTCATCATGGATTTCATGGATTTTTTAAATAAGCCATGACAAAAACTTTGAAAAATGTCCTGGTATGTACATGGGACAAGGGGAAACTTCCTTGTAAATGGTTCCAATTAGGGTTGTTCTTTTATCTGATGAACTCTAAAGTACAAGCAGTCTCTCCTGCCGGTCAGCACCCGGGGTGATTCTGTTTTGGCTGAAATGAGTAAGAGGGAAAACTAGGCTGCTATGTTGAAAACAGTTGGAAATGTGCACAGAATAGCATTGCATACGGCAGTCTAGTATTTATCAAGCAAAGGCTGAATTCAGAATATTTTATTGGAGTCCTGTAAGAATACCCTCGCACCATTAAATCAGCTTTTTGCAGTAGACGGGTTGTTTACTTCGGGAAGATACTGTAAAATCCTCAGTACGACCAGAACAGCTTCTTCTGGAGGAGACCACATGTGCTGCATTTTCTTCCTAAGCATCCCAGAGTCCGGACCTGGACTCCATTGGATACATCTGGGAGCATTTCAAACAAAATATGTTATTCTGTCAAGTAATACACAAGAGCTACAGCAAAACCTCCACATCTGGCGAAATCTGGTTCACAGTGTCACTTACCCAGTCTCTTCCCAGACTCAGGCACAGTTTGAAAGGCGAAAGACACGCTATCATATCCTTTTGTATTACAGACTATATTCATGTAAACAGGAAACTGTAGTATTATGTGAAGTGAAGTGAAAAACGGACATAGCAGTGTTCTGGACATCTATCAAGACGAGTAGAACAAAGCTGGACCAAGGAAATTCCGACTCCATGGTCATCAAGGAGGCCTTAAGGCAGGAACATGAAATTTAGGTTTGAAGAGAGGCAAAGAACCAAAGGCAAGGCTTTGTGGATGGGCTTCAGATAAACCTGTGTCTTTCTGGGCTGCGTCTGATAATCATGAGACTTTCAGAAGTGCTGCAGTTCTCTGTGGACATGATTTGTGCTCTTTGAAGAAAAATATAAGTACAGTTCAATACAATAGAATGTGCCAGTGAAATAAAATTGAAAATGACGTGCTGAAAAATCTCGTATGTTGTCCTTTGGTTTATGACACTTTTATTATCAATTACATTCATCGATATTTTAAAAACGAATCTTTCTTCATTTATAGAAAATAGTACTAGGATGTATCAGACAAATAGTGTAGATGAGAGTTTTTTTAATGTGTTTTTCATGCCTTTTATTTTTTTATATTCACCCACTGTGCATATTTGTCACAATTTCATTTCCCAGCAATGTTCCCACTAATCATGTGGTGGTAATGGGAATAATCTGCTACTTGGGAAGAAGTTGAATCATTTAATAAGGCATTTCCTTGCTTTGGTCTCTAAAGAGGCATTGTCTTACATGCTTCAGATGAATTAGTGTCAGCAATAGACACACAGGGCCACGTTTCAACAGTGCAAAGCTTTCTGTAGGTAATACGTGGCTCAGTGAGATACCAGTTTGAACAAAAGGGTCAGCTTATCGTTTCTTACCATGCAGTGGGACTACAAACGTGGGAGCGAATGTCTGCTATCCAGTTCTAAAATGAGGCAGATGTTTGAGACACTAAAAAAATATGCTGTCATGATGAAAGGGCTAGTCTGGGTACCACGTTACTTTTCCAGTTTTCCGTGTCAGGTGCAATCCCTGTCATTTAGTTTTGCTCGTTCCACAGAAAAATTGAAAACACGAATGACTGAAGGGCAAAGCCAAGAGTTTTAGTGTCTTACGACAGTAATGCATCTGTGTTGTTCTGAAGCTGGATCCATAAGCTTGGGCAAGCCTCAGCTGGAATGGCGTGTGCTTGCTGCACAGAGAAGACTTTGTTTGGTTTAAAAACTAAATTAAAACGGAGGAAGTTTTCATAGTTGGTAATGGAATGAACTCCTTATACAGTACATGCACAGACATCATAAAAATGTATTTATCAAGTGCTTGAAACTTAGCAGTCTTGTAACGCAAAGATCTGTTGAATGCACAGAAAACAAAGTTGTTTGATTATAGAAAGTGCAGTTATGTAATCCACATTTCAAAAGTAAATTAATGCAAAGAATTCTGCATGTAAAAGTGACTCAACAGAATTTGAAAGTTATAGCATTCACAGGAAATAATGGTTTTCCTGTGAATTCTTAGTAGACCAAATACAGGCAAAGTTTAGTTTGAGACCTGTTTTACTGGAAATAGTTCCTATGCTGAAATCTACCCCAGATCTTCTGGATATTAACAACCACAAAACCTAAATAAAACAAATATTTACTATATATAAAGGCATTGAAATGGGGCTTGTCTTCAAATGTACGAATGGTAGAAGACAAATTTTACATGTGCTTTATAGGCCAAACAGAGAGCGCACAGGAGACGTCAGTGACTCTGGTGCATCCCTTGTCAAACATGGCCTCAATCCAGAAAAAATCTTCATGCAGGTTCACTATTTAAAGGTAAGTTATTAAAAACCGCTCTCTTGCTATATTCCTGCTATAAGAAATCACAACAGTTATGTGTCAGATACAGAACAGCACACTACACTATTGTTGTGTTCAACACTTCAGTGAAAACATCTACTTTTATATGAAATAAAGAATTTACAAATTAAAAGAGAGTGGTGCTTGGTGTTCATGATGGTTTTTTAACAGTTAAAGTTTAACAGTTAGTTACAAAGACTGGAAATGTAATAGAACATTTACAGTATTAATTATTTACAGCATCAGTAGTAACCAAAGGTAAAAAGTACTGCATTTGCTCAATCTTCTTTGGAAGAATTTCTTTTTTTCTGTTTGTGGTAGTTCTAAACATATCTCTCACTTAGCTGGCTTAATAACACTGTATTTTGACTGAAAAACATTCCACTGATTGCTTCATTAAAGGCTGATGAGTGCAACTATTATATGTTTGACATACTTTATTTAAAATGAGGATGAGTCAGAATAACGTTATTTAGTAAAGCAGTTTCTTCCTTCTTACCCTTTTATCACGGTGAAGAAATGACAAAGATGTCCTAGTTCTTCTACCTAATATATATTCATTTATGAATCTAAGAATACCTGTACATTTGTAGCTAAAAATATTACACATACGATGAAGTTTAAAAATATACCAATTCGTGTAGAAAGATACTGTAAATTATGATTCCTAAACTGATTTGGTATGTAGATGTCCATGAAATTGTGCCATGCTGTAGTTATTATAGATACAATTGTGAAATATTTAACGGATATTAAAACAGAGGTACAGTATCTCTTGGAAATTGGCAATGAACGTGTTCATGTTGCAATTTTAAATGACATTTTTCAACGTACATTTATTACATTTTTTATGAATACATTTAATTGAAGTGAGGATCTATTTCCTGGTGGTATCATTGTGGTTAGTTGTGTGGGAAAAAAATATCAAATCAGAAGGAAACACTTGTTCATTATTGAGCAGTCTGTCACAGAAAACGCCATGATGCTTTCAGTTTTTGCGTACAGTGAGAAACCCAGGCAAGGCACGTAGATCCGTTCCAAGAACTCGAAATGATTTTGGCTTCTCCTTTTTTTCTTTTAAAGGGATACTTTCTGCTCTATTTTCTTGCAAGCAAAATAGGAGACGATCGGTTCCTTAAATTCTTTTGCCAGTTTGTGCAAAAGTTCCATGGTCAACTCATTCTGTCTCAGGTAGGCTGGTCTCTTAGACGCTTTACAGTCCTTTTATAATGTAACGCTCTGTGTCTTTGAAGTAACTAGAGTGTCCACATATCATTGATCTTACAATCATTTCAGTCAATAAGAAAAGCCATGTAAAAAGTACTCCAACAAGTTATGCTTTTATTGTTCACAATGTCTTTGGATCTTATTTTCACTGATACTTGATTATTCAGTCAACAACAGTACCAACAAAAATGTAACTTTTGTGGTCCAAATTTCTGGTGTTCATTACCGATATTTTTAATGTGTTATAAAGTTCATGTTGCATAGCTCACAAGTAATTTTGCACAGAGCTTTGCTGAAAGACTGAGAGTTAATAGGTTCCACAAAGTATGCAAGCATTGTTTAATAAAAAAGTAACACACTTGCCCAGCCAGGTTAAAGGGTTCATCTTCTTTCATAATGTTTCATTTAAAATCAATGTTTACATTTACCACACTATTTACAATAGAATAATAATGAAAGAGAACAGTTGGATGCATTTTCAATTTGTTTTACAGCTGTGAAATATCTGTATTGTAACAGACTTCCCTAAAGTAGGGAACATATTCCTTCCTTTTCTCTATATTCTTTCCTTCATGTTGTATAATAATTTGGTAAACGTGTTTAAGCATATTCTATAACCATGATCCCCCTGTGGTAAGCACACTCAATTCTTATAAAATGAGTCCATAATTAAGTAAGAAACAAAGTAAAGTCCTATGATTTAGGAAGGCATTTGTATTCTGCCCTACTACTGCTTTTGAAGAGGCATAAAATTGACCATCCTTCACTTGTCACGCAGGATTTTTTGAATATGCTGCTGGAAAGTTTCCAAGAGATAAAGAGGTAGGTGTGTTTAATTCAACGTCCATGATAAGCACTTCCTATTAAATGCATTGGGGCGTTTTCAGTGTGTGATACCACTTTGTTTTAAAAAACAGAACATCCCTCCTAGACAAATGCAAATGTTATACATACATTCAGATATATAAAAAAAATGAGTTTGTGTCCTTTCATATACTTCCTTAAATCACCTTTGTTGATTTCTGTTACATCTTTTGCACATACATTGTTTTCTCAGCCTGCTATCACTGAAAACTATTAGTTGTAGTACAATTTTACACCGTTGTTATATGTAATTGCCTACAGTATATTGGCAGTGACCAGCACAGATGAGATGCAATTCAACTATATGAACTATATTCAGAAGTTAGAAACTGACATGGTTCAAATGAAATTATGCAATTATCATGCAGTTCTTTTACAAGCAATTAAACAAGACTATTAGCTCCTAATTAACGTGGACATGGCTAAGTCGCTTACATTCTCTGCCTTAAAGGTCTACTTTAGTGATCACAATGATAAAATATATTGAAAATTGTTACCAGAAAGAAAGAAATTTGAACCATATTGTTATTTAACGGGCTTGTTTTTGCATTCTTTCATTTAACATCTGATAACAAGTGTGCAGAATTCAGACACATTATACTACTATTTACAGTATGTGTTGGACAGAGTTCTAGAATGGGCATTGCCATTCTAGTTAGTGTGTCAGTCATTTAAAACTGACATTTAATAAAACACTACCAAGCTAAAATACCTGTAGTTGTTTCCAATAAATATACCAGGAGGCATTAAAACTGTAGCAAACGCTAAATGTTCCAATAAAGGCTTTTTTTATAGTTGTTGTTTTCTCATTTGTTGACTTGATTTATTGTTTCTGATTACATATACAGTATTCTAGCTTTCAAAAGACTTCTTCTGCCTGCAGTTCGTATTCCCTGTATATAAACGGTTTATAATTGCGGGTTTAAAAGTCTAGACTAAGTAAGCCCTTTTTTCTTTTAGTTTATCTTTGCAATCCCAGGGAGAGCCAATAGAAGTCTCTACCTTTTCATGCTGACCAGATGTTTAATGGAAATCACTTTGGATCTTTCCTACGCGTCATTACAGGAGGAAAAAGCCAAACTAATTTGTAATGGAGAAAAACACATTCTCCATATTTTCCCTTACAGAATTGATCCATTCATACTGGTGTTTGCTGCTCATGTCTGCATTTTTATTTTAGAACTTGCTAGTCCCATTTATTTTTAATTTGTGTCTTTGATTTTCAGTGGTAGCAATATGCGATATGTAAGCTGATGGTCATAATTATGGAGAAACTGGAAAAAAGTACTGAAATAACAATTTTGAGTTCACCATCACACTATTTCATTTGAAGAGTGCATAAATATAGTGGATATTTTCCAGTACAATACAGTATTTCTCTTCAAATTATCCCTTCTTGGCTGAGTTATGAGTTACAGTAGCTGTTTGTAGTCGATACCACATTTACAGCTGTGTTTTTTGTGATTCGCATGCATCTTTATGGTGATTTTGTTTTTGTTTTTGTTATTTTTGCAAAAAAACACCTTTAAAACTGTCATTACTTTTTTAAAAACAATCTTTGTTCTAATTATGAGAAATGTATGCAAAGCTGGCCACCAACATTTCAGATACGTTTAACAAATTATCAAAATTATTCACTGTCACTTGTCAGCTGTGTTTCAAACTACAAAGAGGAACAGCAGTTTAAACAACACATGCAATTAAAACATTCCATGTTTCATCATTATCAAATTTTGAGTTAATAATTTTAACTAATCCATTTTAATTAGTTTTTTTAGATTGGATTAGTTTGTTTCAAACCAAACTTCTCAATAATCATGGTGTTTGACACGATGAATCATAAACACCAAAAATCGTGTAACACCCTAATATGGCCTAATTTTAATGTTAAATGTATTTAATTAGTAAACGTTTTGACAGATATACAGTAAGTGAAGTGAAAGCAAGTGTGCACAGTATTGTGCTCTTCTTGTACAGATATTGCTGTGTACTGTCAGCAAGTAGAGGCATTAATAACATTTTATAACACTGCTATTTTAACAGTTTTTTTATTTAAAAACTCCAGTTCAGTAGCCTGAAAAAATTAAAACAATACACAAGCTCATTCCAGTTTGTGATTTACCAACAAGTAAAACGACAAGCCTAGAACTGACAACAATAGATGGTTACAATTGCTATCAGTAGTAAAAAAAACATTCATTTGGAAATGTGTTATTAACATTTGAAGGTGAAAATTGTGAGAAAAATGCACGAACTGTTTTTGCATTCCATGGAAAATTGTGGTTTTGATAACTGTGGTATGAAGAAAGACTTTGGTGTCAGAATTGTGGCAATGTTTAAACACTTTGACCTTCTTTAGGGTATTGCATGATGCTTAAGAAGTGCATATTTTATTGTATCTTTTGAAACTCTAATATGTGTTGCATTGTTCTGTATCTGCTGTTTATATATGAGCAAAATAACTCCAAACCTTCACATCATGTCTTTCACAGTTTACTGCAGTATTGACACAGCTTGCTCATACACAGTGTCTGTAGTAAGGAGGAAGTGATAGGCATCAGCATCTCTCAACTGCCTTGTGAGTGGCCGGCTCTGGTCATCTCTTTCATATCATCAAAACAAGCTATGATGAAAATACCTGAGAAGTTTGTTGGCCATCCCATTTATAAGTTCAAATTCCAATTCAGAAATCACCTTGATACAAATTCCTGTTATTTTCAAATACGTTAAATATGAAGCTGTCACTGTATTAATTGCAGTCTAGACAGTAATAAATAAATGTAGTTGTGAAGGCAGTCACCTCACTGAACCCCTGAAATAAGCCTTGGGGAATTCCATTAATTGATTTACAGAAGGCTGTGAGAATTGGTCAAAAACATACAGTACTGTATGTGCCATCATCAGGTAATCCTAGCACTAGCGAATAGACTCAATTTCCTGTAATCCCGATTAAGCATTTGCCATCATAACAGTTGTCACGTCAGGTGGCCAATGCCCAAACTTTTCCATTTCATCTGGAACATAATACGCTTTGATATTTCTTTAAACATTATACAGACATCAAATTTTTCTATATATGAATAAAAGAACCATCCTGAAGAAAGAAGGCTGCTGGGTCTTCTAATGAAGTTGGAGTTTCTAATGATCATTATAAAAATCTTTTTTTTCTACAGGCAGGTCACTGGAAGCAATTGAATCACCTCCAAGTAATTGATAGTTTTAGCAATAACTACACCATGAGAAGTTCACAATCACATAAAAAAAAATCCATTATTTAATTCAAAATGAAAAACTCAAGCTCTAAAAATATACCCTAGTTCATAAGAGAATATTAAGTTGTCAAATGTGACCAAAAATGTTGTGGGACAGATTGTAAATATTCCTTGTTGATGCAGCTAATTGCTCTTAGCTAACAAATACTGTACCAACCTCAAATGTGATCATTATAAGCAATTCTAATGCAGTACAACAATCTGCTGTAATTAATGTTCTTGTCAGTGACAGCTCAGACTAAAAAGTGCAAATTTAGATAATTGATCAATATGTGTGCCACAGGTTTGCTAAGGTTGTTCAAGCAGCTGTTTGAAAATCTAGTCATGGAATCAATTCTTCATTTATGGCATGTTATGAAGGACAGAGGGACCATCTTATTTGACAGTTACATAAATAAGAACATTATTTTAATTAACTGAAAGCTTTCTTGATGATTATTTTTACTTTGCTGAACAACTAATAATTTTAATTGGCAGTGAGATTAAAATAGTGCAACAATTTGTAAATGGTTAGAATGAGCAAATACAAAGTCTGCTCTGCTAGCTGTCTTTAATGACAAGCATGAAAATCACATAGCTACTGTACTTTCCCTTGATACTAAATACTACCGTAGGTTTAGAGTAGGCATTGCGGTCTTCTTATTACCCTTTCAAAAATCTCTTGTGTCTGATGTTCTGTTATGTGACTTGGGGCTGTTCTTATTTGTACGTAAATGGCAAAAAATCATAACGAAAGCTTCTCTGAGTCTGGGTTTTCCAAAGCTGATGTTACCTTCTTATATCTTCATCCATTTTTATAACAATTATTAAAGTACAGTGCACTGTTATATTCCAGAGATGGCCTTACCCTTGAAGCTATTTACCGAGACTGGTTGGACAGTGCAGGAGTTCCTGAGGTAAGTTTTGTTGTAGAATTTGGCATACAAAAATTAATTCCAATTTGTAATCACGTTTCACCCTTAAAACTGTGCCACTGCTATAGATAACTTTTTGGGACATTGCAAGGCTTTTCCTTTTAATCTGTGGAACAATTCATGAAATCAGAGCAGTGGAATTGTGGTATTATTGTTATTTTTTTCCTGTTTGTCTTTTGTGTTTTGAAAGTTGAAATAGTGAAAATTAGGAAAAAATAATGTACCATATGTCTTTTTTTTGGAATGTTTTGAATCTTTTGTTCAAAATAATATCCCTGTTAAATGTGAAAAAATTGGAAAACAAAATATTGTTATAACCTATACTGTATGTACTAGTGTTTCCATAATGAAATGACAGTGCCCCAGTGTAGTTGCGTTATTGGGAAGAACACAGAAGGGGTAGTGGTCATGTTTTTCGGTAACACTGTTATCAGATTTCTTTGTTTAGGAATAGGATGTGCATTCTGCATTAATTCTACAGTTCATTTTTATACATTTTTTTACAGCTCATTAAATGTTTTGAATGCCTTTGATAACATTTTGTCTTTGATAAACTCAAATTTCAGTTTTTATAGCTAGAAAACAAACAGGCCCCCCAAATATGTATTTCTGATTTAAAAAAAAGAAAAGTTAAATTAAATTTAAAATCATAGTTTAAAAAATAACGTGTATGAAGTGTTATACACTTATTAGCATTATACAGGCACTTTTTCTTTACAGCGTTAATTACTGTACATTTCTATCCATTTGTGTTGACTGTGCAGCCAGATTGCAAAGTAAATGTTGGCGAGTAAAAAGAGTAATTCTTGAGCGGTTTGCTCCCTTTATAAAATCTGACATCTCTTCAGCTTTCCAGCAGGGCCATTACCATTTTTTTCAGTGCTTCATTATCACTGTTTCCCTGAGAAAATCACCTGGCCTTCTTGTGTGTGAGAACTGCTCAATGTTAAGTAAACAAGCCTAGGTCAGTACAGTATCAAACCTACACCTTCAATAACGGTATCTAGAGCAAATAACTTTTTAACTTACAGTAGAAAGGTTTTCCTTATTCATAATTTTAAGGGCTCTATGGGCAGATAAAGATTTCAAGTGTCTGATTGTCAGTGCCCATATTCATCATCGACACTGCTGTGCATTGTGATCACAAAGTACACTGCAAAAAAAAAAGAGAGAGAGCGGGCTGTTTCTTGCTTTTATTATGAGACTACTGAACACAAAAGCTGTGTTATGCTGGGAATGAGGGGAGTTATCCCTGCTGTAAAGCAGTTATGTGTGGTATCCAGCGAACAATACAAGTTTACTGCCTGAGTGATCAGTGTTGGATCAGGTTCACATTCCCAATTCCCCACTCACCCACCTACACAGACAGAGGAGTTGGAGTAAACACGAGCTGGGCTGCACAGCTCTTACCCAATATGGAGAGCTGGGCAAAGTGTAAAACTCGTCTTGCTTCACTCCAGCGGCATGGAATTTGTTGTCATCATCAACATGAAAATCTCCAGAAATATGGTTTTCCCCTTGAAAAGAGCAGGCAGTGTGCCCCAGCACTGTGAAGGCATACTGTACAGTACTTGTACATGTAACTGTACATGGACGAGTGTCTGCCTGTTTCTTAGTTATTCTGGACAAGTCAGCAGTTGTCAGCTATCATTTTTTGAAAGCACAGGACAGAGAAGGTCTAATATTTTTAGCTTTTAACTCACTGTATTAACCTCTAACTCTCTGCCCTGCCAGTTTGATTGATATACGTTTACCAGAGGTTGTATTGATAGATAATTACAACAGAACACATATTCTTCAAAGAGGTGGTATATTGTGTTGGGAAGCATTATATTATAATTATATTATGTCCCTGAACAGGAAAGCTCCTATTGTACAGCAATCACTGGACAATCTATAGGCATTATTAAAATATTTGAGCTGACATAAAATAATGTATAATATATTCTATAATTAATTATATAATATATACATTGTATTAAACATTAATAATATAATATATAACTAATATAATTTGTCTTATTAGTTTTCTTGTTTGTTTTCTAAAAAAATTTAAAACAATGAAATGCTGAATTAGTGATTTTAAGATTCTTAGCATTCATTGAAAGTGGGAAACTATTTTCAGTTATTATACTGTCGTCTTACCTTTTTTAGGCAAACAGCCCTGAAATTGTTAAAAGATTTCTTAGAGCGTTGTTTCCAGTAAAATTCAGAGGGCTTCTGCAAAATAGATAAATGCATCATGCACATTTCACTCTATCTAAGCAACAAATGACAGTATAACCACATTCTTGAACTTTTCTGTTGGCATTAGATTTTTATGAAATAACATTTTTATGGAAGTAATAGGTTTATTCCATGCTGAAAAGAGAAGAAAAGAAACAACGTTTCGGCTGTGGAGCCTTCATCTTGACACCTTATTTCCTACTATAACATTTTTATGATAACATACTACCCAGTGAGTTGATTTTTAATTACTTAAAAAGAAAGTTATTTCTTCAGCCATATTTGGCGCCTTTCTTTTAAATCATGTGTCCTGGATTATTGAAGAAATGTAATCTCAAATAGCAAGCTGATCTGAAATAGGGGAGAATTCCTGCAACAGGCAATTTGCTTGACATCAGCTGAACCTCCCTGGTCCCTTGTGTGTGTGTGTACCCAGTCAGAGCAAGCTCCTCCCCTGCGTGACCGGGGAGTGAGCTGTGTTTGATTACAATGAGGGTTATGCTCACAGACTTCTTGAAGTCTGAGTCACTGAAGGGCTTCAACAACTGGTGGTAGACGGGATCTAACAAATCAGAAAGGACCCGACCAGTTCTGAGCGCTTTTCATTTTGTTTTTGTTTTTTCCCCAAAGGAGTAGCAAAAGCTTTAACGAGGGGAGGGTTACTGCTGCTAGGGATTTCATACAGATTGGTCAATTGTTCCGGTGTGCGGTGCTGAAGTTAATGAGAGCTGGGTTCACCCTTGGAGTTCCGCTGCAAGTTACAGTCTGAGAAAAGAAGCCAACCTGGCGTCCGTACATTAGGCTCATTATTGCTCTGTTTCCATTTGTCCAGCCTTTGCTCGAAAAGAGTCATTCTTGGCTTCAAAATAGGCTGGTTGAAGAAGTCAAAGAGGAGGTAAGTGAGAAGCGTTGACCCTGTTTTATGTGTATATTTACACCTACTCTATTTTCATTTCTTAATTTTAAACAGCAAAGCTAAAATGTGTTGTTTTCTTCCTTTTTTAAAAAAAAAGAGCAAAGTGACAGTATGCAGTTGTGCAAGCCAGGCAGTTTTGAAATGTTTTGAAATTGATAGAATTTTCTCCGCAACATCAACAATGCAGTGCCTTTCTTTTTAAAATCCACTGCGGACAAGAGGTCGGAAATTAATTGCTCTTATGTGCGCATCTTGAGCTGTCGAGGAGATGGTGGCGTAGCACATTAAAAGATTAGCTGATCATACAGAAATGTGACTAAAGTGGGTTACCTAAGAACTCTTTTTTTTTTTTTTGCTTTGGCCACAGGAAAGTATTTCTTTCCAATGAAGCAATGGAAAGAGTGTCTAAAGTCTGTTTATAGTCTCTTACTCATATTGGACCGCTGCTCTGTCGCCGACTTTCTAACTCCCCAGTCTCCTCTGATCTTAACTGCAGGTTGCAAAATGGATTCACTTCAGTCACAGCCACAGAAAGGGCAGCAAGCGGAAAAGGGGAGAGAGGAAGGAGATCTTCAAAGAGGTAGGTACTGTTATGCAAGCTTGAAATTTCAGTCAGTTCCCTGTCATCTCTCATATGTAATGACCTAAGTATACTTTTTAACCATTTTAACCGCCTAAGCTTTGTTATTAGGGAAAGGTGCCTCCGAATTCTCAGAAATCCCCTCCTCATTGTATTGAGAAAAATGCAAAACAGCATGTTTTAGATTGTTTTGCCTCTGGCAACGAAGAATTATCCTTGATCAGCCTGAACAAAAGCCCAGAGTTTTTAAATTTAATCTAAAACCTAAAGCTTTCAATGCTACGGTTCTATATTAGAGACAGATGCTTGATACAGTCCATGTTATCGAAAATACCCATTCATGTTTGTTTTACTGTATCGTGTAATTCAGAATTCAAGCTAAACAACCAATATGAATATTAAAGTTATGTTAAAGACAATTTAGTTTTTTTTGGCTTAACATTTTTATGGGCAGTACAGCCAACCAGACTTTTGCATCTTAATATATGAAGACAGAAGTGAATTGCCTTCAGTGATTTGATTTACACAGTGGATCGGCAAGACCTGAAAACACCCAGAATGAAATATACATCTTCATGTTTTATTCATGGCAGTAGAAAGTTAATTTTCTAATTGAGTGAGTAAGGCTTTTTGTCCCATTTGTTTTATATGGTAAGAAGTAGAACTATGGTGAAAAAGTGTAAAGTGAACAAAGATGTTTACGTATTCGTTAATGTTTTAATTCTGCAAAATGGTGTTTACCATGCCGTTCTTGAGAGATGTGTCAGGGATATTTTTATCTGAAAAGTGAGAGTTATTTGTCCTAAATGATATATTCTTTATAGCCATATTTGGTTGTATTCAAGTACTATACTGAGCTGTACATTGCATGTGTGCGAGAAAGAATTAAAAATATTTTCACAACAGGGATACAGAGGCTTACTATAGCCACTGGATTTTATTGTGGAGTCTACTTTTATTACAGACATTAATCATGTTTTAAAAATAAAACTGTTCGTCATGAGCTTTCCACTTTGCACCCACATGTCCCGATTCATAGAATGTTCCTTTTAAGAATAGTTTCTAATCAATTTTGATTTCACCTCTTAGATACATGATTTTCAGGACAATAACAATAAAGCAGATTAAAAAAAACTCTCCATTTCAATCTATAATATAATTAGTGTCGATACACTTCTTCTAGTATACTGTAGCAAATCTGGCTCAGGTCAGATTATAGTATTGATCACAGCAAGAGCTTCTGGCAATAATTTTCTCTGCCAACTACTGTACGTGATGTTTTTCATACCGTATTTTTTCTGTGTCTGTGTTGCACTGAATTATGGACATGCTCTTTCATAACAGATTTGTCTGTGTCTGTGTTAACACACCCCAAAGTGTTAAGTTATAAACTATTTCTACCACCTTCCTGGGGTAACTGTAAAGGATATTTTGAAAAAGCTCTACCAGAAAAGGTGTTAAAAAAAGTACATTGAATAGAAGCGAATAAAAGAAAGGGGAAAAAAACAGCTTTGCTGTCTCACACTTTATCTTGTTAGTAACTGCTCTAAAGTCCTGAAGAAGGGTTGAGTGCCCTTTCTGTTAATGACTCCGTAACAAGTGGCCAGTTGGGTGAGTATTGTAATTAATTGGATCAGTAATGTGTCCTCTCCACAGATCCCTTGGGCACTTTGGTTCTGTAGGAACCTGTTAAATTCCAGGTGTTCGTACACTTAAGTATTCCTCTGTAATCTTCCTTTATGTGCTTCAAATGCTTCCTCCCTCCATAAAATGGCATTCTCGTAAACAGGGCTGTGATTTCCAAATCAAGAGAAGCCGGTTCTGCGTAGCTTCATATTCAAATAGTTTTAAAGTTTACAGATAATAACCTCAATAATTATCTGATTGTAGGGTGCCAGCAGTTCTCCCCTCCTGGGCAGCTGGAGGATTAAGTTCACTTTAATGTACAATGAAAGGTTTTTGCAGGAAAGAATGGGGTTTTAGTGCCACAGGTTTTGGGGATATTAGTCATAGGTTTGTGGTAATGTGCTCCATTTTTCTATAATTTTCATCAAAAGGCATTTTAATGAGAATGTGTTTGTGTATGGTAATAACACTGATACGAATGCCCATTTGAGTACATCAAAACAAGTGTGGTATGTAATAGATGGCTCTTCCCTGACTTTTTTAGTAGAACCTTCTGGAGTGCAGGACGTAATGTATTTTTACAGAAGAGTGATGTCAAAGAGGGTTCAGTGGTTGTATAACAGATGCCTTACGGAGCGCTTCCGAGATCCTGCAAGGTTTTGTGGTGGCTGTGGAAAAGGCTGCAGAAATTCAAAGGAAGAAACTTTGGATTGGCCTTAGTTGTTTCTGTACATTCATATAGAAATACGAAAGCAGCTTTTACATCAATGCAGCAATGTAATCCTAAACTGTAGTGCTGCCATCCCCTGGAAGTCAGTGGAGACAAACTCTGCGTTCATTTCTTGTCTAGACAGAGCTCCTGCCTTGGACACAGAACTGGAATTAAGAATCCCTATGACTGAGTCATACACAGCCTGTACAAATCCACACAAAATATAACTAATGCAGGAGGCTTGCACATACTGAAAAGTAATATTCTTATTTTTTTCTTATACCTAGAGTGCTGTTTTATGGTAGGAAAGATTGACAGCCTGATGCAGCAGTTGAACCCACACAGTTACAGACGTTCAGATTATTTCATTGGGAACAGTTTGTGCCTTTCAGTCTTTCTTTTTTTCTTGTGGACCTCCAGAGTGTTTGAAATTTTGATTTAGAAAAATATGTTTTGTGAATTACACAGGACTTCACTATATCTAGAGCATATTGTAAAATATTTCCATTTTTGCCTGATTTCTTTTCTGTACCCCAAAAGATATGTGCTGTGTTCCAGATTTTATGGAAGAAATGGTTCCAGGTTAATGTGCCTCTCAACAGGAAAGCAGCTTTCTGATAAAGGATGGATAAAGGAAGCAGTCAGGCTCAGTAAAAAGTCTTCTCGATACTGTGCATCGGGTTATTGAAAACCCAGAAGCTCTGTGCCAAACCATATGCTCATCACAGTGGTTTACAGTTGTTAAAAATTCAATAAACAAAGTTAAAAAAGGTTAAAAGTTTTTTTTTTTAGCTCATTGTCCCTTGCCGGTGAAAAATTTAAGGAAAATTAATTCCTTGCTTTGGTAATATGCTCAAAACCTTTACTCAAAATTGAATTAAAAACAACATGAGAAAACTTCAATCCGAATCAGTTGTTCATTCCGTTGGATTAATAATTTCTGTATATTTTACATGATTTTGCCACAAAATCAAGCTTAGTTTTGGAAGATCCCATCCATCTCTACTTTCGCTGGGTGACTTAATTATCTATTTAAAGTTCTTATAAATCTTTGTGAAAATGGTTTCGTTGTATTAGTGTGTAAGTGATTTTTATTCTTTCCAGTCATAACCTCACATTCGGTTGCTGAATATAATTGTAATTAACTGCTGAGGTCAATTTTATCTTTTCTCTTTTAAACGTCAGCCAGTCTCTTGGCCTAGAGACTTGAACTGTCAGTAAACTAACACCTTCATTTAGTCTGAATCTCACCAACATTTAATCGTAGTAGATTTGCCGTTGTTGTATCAAGACAGTTGTTGATATAAACCTGCAAATGACACTTGATTATGTAATTTCCTCCACTCAGTGATGTTGTAAACATCACCATAACAACTTTGCTATCACTGTTGCGTGGTGTAAATCTGTGATGTACTTGGGATGTCAATGTTTTAAAAGTGATTTAAGATTCTTGGGCAAGTGGCTTTCATTGGACTGGAACTGGAATTTCGGATTTTGAATATATTCATTAATCGGTGAAAAACCGTGCTCAAAATGCAAAGTACACAGTGGCAAACGGGAGTATCATAAAGGAAAATGAATGACTTGTTGTTGTTACTGCGGTGGAAGAGGGGTGATGCAGTTGATTCTAGACGGTTTAGTGTGGTTGTGCATTGGTGTTGAATTGATATGCATCATATCTGTGAATAAGGGAGTGGGTGGATGGTGAGAGTCTGTTACCTGATGCTTCTACCAGATTGGAATGGAATTGGATTGACATTGATGGATGTTCTGTGAGTGCTGGAAAGTTCATTGCAGCTCTCCATCTACAGGGCAGAGTTCAATTGTGGCAAAAAGATGCTGGGCTTCAGATTTGAAAGTGCTCAGTAACGGCAGCTGTGAGGAAGTGGTGCGATTGTAATTACAACCTGCTCCTATTGCCTATGTTCTACCTTTTCCATAAAGTAATGAGTATATGGACATCTGTCAATCTGTGTCTGTTGCCATCCATATATGTATTTAGAATTGTTTGTGCATGATTCTTCATTTTGTTTTTCTCACGAATACTGAAATGTTAGTTTCAAACTGGTTCCTTTGGCCCTGAAGTGGTCTTTGTGTTTCTTTAGTGTATCCAGAGATGTTAAAAATTCCAACTATGGTGAGACTATGCCCTGTGCTTTGTCTGAAAAGAAGAGCGCACAGCTGTTCAGAGAAATAAAGCACAGCTGGACAGTGAAATCAGTGATCATCTGATGTACACCTAAAGCTACATGGAAAATCAATGCTTGTATTTCATAATAGAAAGAAGCAATAAAGTACACAAACACCACCCTACTGGAGTGGAATGCATTCCTTAAATTCCTTTAAAATAAATAAAGAATGTTTCTCAAGCCATTAACTCTTATTTGTTGTCTCAATTGAAAATAAAACATTGTTTGAAGGATCAGAGATCTACAGGGTTTAGTCCAGTAAATTATCAGTTTCTGTAATTTTGGGAGAAACTGCCAGGATGTCGGGGTAGCACCCCTATTCTTTTTGAGAAACGCCCTGGGATTTTTAATGACCATGGAAAGTCAGGACCTCGGTTTTATGTCTCATCTGAATGGCGCCTTTTTACAGTATAGTATACCGTCACTATACTGAGGCATTAGGACCCACACAGACTGCAGGGTGAGCGCCCCCT